TCTGTGTGTCTCTCTCTCTCTCTCTTTCTGTGTGTCTCTCTCTCTCTTTCTGTGTGTGTGTCTCTCTCTGTTTGTGTGTGTGTGTGTGTGTGTGTGTCTCTCTCTCTCTTTCTGTGTCTCTGTCTGTCTGTCACTGTCTCTCTCTCTGTGCCTCTTTCTGCTTCTCTCTGCCTTTTGCTGTTTCTCCCTCTCCCTCCCTCCCTCTGGCCTTTGTTAGTTTGTTTGGGGACCCTACTTCACAGACTTGAGCCCAGGCTGATTGTCTCCTGTTGTCAGCGCTGAAGGGATGCCACACTCTGCAGTGGAATAGCCCATGAGTGTAAGGAGCAGAGTAGGCCACTGAACCCACCCTGCCATTCGACAAGCCCACATCTGATCCCTGCCCCGATAACCTTTCACCCTACTGCCCCCCTGTTTGTTGACCCGAGAATCTCTGCAACTCTGCCTCGAGTATATTCAAAAGCTTTGTTTCCACCTCCTTCTCAGGAAGAGAGTTCCAAAAACTCAAACCTTCTGAAAGGACAGGTTTCTCATCTCTCTTGTAAAAGGGTGACCCCTGACTTTTCAAACAGTGACCTCCGAGATTCTGCCACAACAAGAAACATCCCCTCTGTCCAGACCCCTCGGGATCTGATACATTTCAATCAAGTCACCAATTTGAGCCTTTCCCTCTAACACAGCCCACCCTCGATTCATCTGGGAAATATTTCCAGCGGTTTACTGCCTAGGTTCTAGTCATTAAAACCCCTGACCTGGTTGAGGTTTGAGCAGCGATGGTCTAATGGTATTATCGCTGGCCTGTTAATCCAAAGACCCAGATAACGTTCTGGGGACCTGCGTTCGAATCCTGCCATGGCAGATGGTGGAATTTGAATTCAATAAATATCTGGAATTAAGAATCCAATGATGGCCGTGAATTCATTGTCGATTGTCGGGGAAAAACCCATCTGGTCACTAATGCCCTTTAGGGAAGGAAACTGCCATCCTTACCTGGTCTGGGCCTACATGTGACTCCAGACCCACAGCAATGTGGTTGACTCTTAACTGCCCTTTGGGTAATTAGGGATGGGCAATAAATGCTGCCTGGTCAGCGACGTCCTCATCTCGTGAATGAACGAAATAAGCTATTTAGCCCGGACCCAATTATCCAGACACCAGGGCTACTCAGGCTGGGTCCATGCGTTGACATCCCACTAAGGTAACTGGTGGAATTGAAATTCAATTCAGTCGACTTGGGATATGAAACTAGTCTCTGGTGATGACAATGCCAACTATCGTTGTTTGTTGTTCTGGGTCACTAGCCCTCTTTCGGGAGGTGAAATCTGCTAAGTCTACTCGTTCTGGCCTGTGTGTGACTCTAGACCCACAACAACATGGCTGAATCTTTACTGCTGTCTGAAAAGGCCCGAGTGAGACACTCATGTCAAGGGGCAATTAGGGATGGGCGGCAAAGATCCTCAGGCAGCACCGTCCAAACGCACGACCCACTACCATCCAGAAGGACAAGGGGCAGCAGGTACATGGGAACACCACCCCCTGCACATTCGCCTCCGAGCCCCTCATCATCCCGACTTGGGAATATATCCCCGTTCCTTCAGTGTCACTGGGTCAGAATCCTGGAATTCCCTCCCTAAGGGACATTGTGGGTCACCCCACAGCACATGGGCTGCAGCGGTTCAAGAAGGCAGCCCCCCCCCCCCCCCCCACCTTCTCAAGGGGGCAATTAGGGATGGGGCAATAAATCCTGGACACAGCCAGTGATTCCCACATCTCACAAAGGAATAAATGAGGCAGGGCAGGAGGCTGCGGTGTCAATGGGGGAGCACTTTGGGGCCAGTGACTGTAATTCTATTAGTTTTAAAGTAGCGATGGAAAAGGATAGACCGGATCTAAAAGTTAAAGTTCTCAACTGGAGGAAGGTCAGTTTTGACAGTATTAGGCAGGAACTTTCAAAAGAAGATTGGGAGACACTATTCGCAGGTAAAAGGGATGTTTGGGAAGTGAGAGGACTTTAAACATGAGATAACGTGGGTTCAGAGACAGTATGTTCCTGTTAGGGTGAAGGGCAAGGCTGGGGGGTGTAGGCAATGCTGGATGACTAGAGAAATTGAGGCTCTGTGAAGAAAAAGGAGGAACCATATGTCAGGGATTGATTGAATCCCTAAAGGAGTAAAAGGGCAGCAGGAATATACTCAGGAGGGAAATCAGGAGGGCAAAAAGGGGACATGAGATAGCTTTAGCAAATAGGACTAAGGAGAATCCAAAGAGATTCCACAAATACATTAAGGACAACAGAATAACTAGGGAGAGGATAGGGCCCCTTAAAGATCAGTAAGGCCACCTATGTGTGGAACTGCAGGAGATGGGGGAGATACTAACTGAGTATTTTGCATCAGTGTTTACTGTGGAGAAGGATATAGAATATAGAGAATGTGGGGAAATACATAGCGACATCTTGAAAAATGCCCATATTATAGAGGAGGAGGTGCTGGACGTCTTAAAATGCGTAAAGGTGGGTAAATCCCCAGCACCTGATCAGGTGTACCCTACAACTCTGTGGGAAGCTAAGGAAGAGATTGCTGGGGCCCTCGCTGAGATATTTGTATCATCGATAGCCACAGGTGAGGTGCTGGAAGACTGGAGGATGGCTAACATGGTGTCACTGTGTGAGAAAGGTGGTAAGGAAAAGCCAGGGAACTATAGACCAGTGAGCCTGACATCGGTGGTGGGCAAGTTGTTGGAGGGAATCCTGAGGGACAGGATTTTCATGTATTTGGAAAGGCAAGGACTGATTAGGGACAGTCAATATGGCTTTGTGTGTGGGAAATCAAGTCTCACTAACAACTGAGTTTTTTGAGGAAGTGACCAAAAAGATTGTTGAGGGCAGAGCGGTAGATGTTGTCTACATGGAGTTTAGTAAAGCCTTTGACAGGGTTCCTCATGGTAGACTGGTTAGCAAGGTTAGATCACATGGAATTCAGGGCGAGCTGGCCATTTGGATACGGAGCAAGCTCGAAGGGAGGAGACAGAGGGTGGAGGTGGAGGGTTGCTTTTCAGACTGGAGGCCTGTGGCCAGCGGTGTGCTACAAGGATCGGCGCTGAGTCCTCTGCGTTTCCTCATTTATATAAATGATCTGGATGTGAATATAGCAGGTATGGTTAGTAAGTTTGTGGATGACACCAAAATTGGAGGCTGTAGTGGACAGCGAAGAAGGTTACCTCAGAGTACGATGGGACCTTGATCAGATGGGCCAATGAGCCAAGGGGTGGCAGATGGAGTTTAATTTAGATAAATGTGAGGTGCTGCATTTTGGAAAGGCAAATCAGGGCAGGACTTATACGCTTAATGGTAAGGTCCTCGTTGCTGAACAGAGAGACCCTGGGGTGCAGGTTCATAGTTCGTTGAAAGTGGAGTTGCAGGTAGACAGGGCGG